AAATATATGATCAAAATATTTTAAAAGGAAACAACATGTCCTTAAAATATATCAATGTTATAAATTTTTCATATATAAATAATGATTATAAACAAGCCAAATATATCTTATCACATATAATCATTTATCACCTAAAACCTTCCAAAATACAAAAATCGTTACCATACACATCTCTTACAAATGCAAATGTAAAACATAAATCACAAAATCTTAAATAATAATAACTTAGATCACAAGTAAAACATATCCCGTCCGTAGGGCGGGCCGACCCTAGTACACAATATTATGTACGATATGGATACAAGAAAGCTAAAGTTTAGCTTATTTAAACACGTCATTGATCATATAATTATTAATACGAGTTAACCAGTTTCAATTGTGCCTGAGTGGAAATTTTAAACTCTTTTTTTTTTTGTAAAGAACGAAATGTCAAAAGATATTTTATAGAAGCAATGGCACGAGCTTTGAAAATCTGTAAACGCCCAAGTTTCTGAAAATAGACAAACAAATTAATTAGTATTCGTGTCACATGACTCACATGAGTCACATCCAGTTTCTCAGATATGTACCATTCATTTCGCATTAAGAAAACGGTGTTGTAATTTCAGTATAATTGTCGTTTTGTTCTCTTATCATTTCAGATAGAACCCGATGATACGTCTAAACCGAAAATATTAGTATGCCATGAAAACGATATGAAAAATGGAACCAAGAAAATCAAATAATAAGAAATAAATGAGAATAAAAGTGAAATCTCACATTTGGGTAACAATATCGTTTTTGTTACACAGTTGGATGCAATAAGAAGCCTTAACGACCCCCCTAAAATTGTATAAATGGAAAAAGAGTAAGAATTTTCCCAGCTCAGTGGGAAAGGTCAACCCTTCTAGTCGGACTTTGTCGTGTGGCCATCGTTGCATTATCTTATTTTCCAAAGTCCCACGAGCTATGCGCAATTTGTTTACTTATAGAGCACTACTTTTATTTCGAACATTTTGATAAATTCAATTGCTGCATGATTAGCAAAACACGTACCCTGTTGATCTCAGTGTAGCTCTCTTATTGGCTGCAACACCACTTTGATGAACTACTTAGTCCTTTCGACCAAAAAAAAGAAAGAAAATGAACTACTTAGTCCTATGTTTATGATTCCCCTAATAAAAAGCCTAAAATAATCAACTTAATTTTTCTTCTATTGCCACTTAAGAATAAAATTGTCCCGATTTGCTATTATTTCTCGAATATGTATAATTGTATATATATATATATATATGTCATGAAATATTAGAAATGCATAAAAACATAGACGATATAATTTTTAACTATGAAGAGTTGAGTTTTGGACTCTAATCTTTCCAAGACCCGGAGTCTACCATTTGCTCAGATATATGATATGGTCTAAAATAACTTTTTTTTAATCGGATTTTAAAATAGGAGTACAACATTGTCAACATCTTAAACCACTATAAAACCACCTCCGGTGGTGAAATAATATAAGATCGAAGCCGTGGATCTAGACAATTAGACATATTAGCTCTTTATCTCTTTCTCCCGTTAAAGGTGTAAGTTGTTGATTGCAGCTTTCATTTTCAGTATGCATAGAGAGCGACCTTTACTGCTCTAACGGTAACACAGGCTTTATGAAAAGTTTAAAAAATCCAACACCGAACTTTGCAAAAAAAATTATGAAGTGGGCAAAATATATTATGCTATATGCAGATTATAATCTATCAATAAATGTTTTTTCAAGTACTAAATGGCAACATTCATAGCAGCTGGCCCGAATTAAGTGCTTATCCATAGGAGACTTGCATAATTCTCATGTATTAGTGGTAATGCTTTGATCACTTGATTTTTAGAAAGGAAAATGAATCAACTCCTATTGCCTTTTCCTGCTCAAATTGACCAGTTATACATAGAAGACACAAAAAGTTTGAAGATAGTGGGACTACACCGACATTATTGAAAATATGGGTACACAGTGGTTTATCTTTCTTGATGTATGAAACAACCGGGAAGATAGCAATTAATGATTACTTGATGCGATCTTTTTTATCTTGCTTTTGACTTTAACATCTTCCTTAGATTGTGTACTTAAGTCAAGAAGCATACTCAACTCACTTCAGTAACATCAATATACAATTTTCTATGATCAATAAAACTGACTATGTATGAATTCGCTTCGAGAAGTCATTATTAGGATTAGGGTGGACTCTTAAAGCATAAAATAAGAGAGCAGGAATTGAGGTGAATATTTGATGTCTAAAATTTTAGTTACATTAATCGATTGTGTGACTGAATATAAATCTTCAAATCTGAGACCAACATGAATAGAAAATATGATAATCATTATTTTTCTATATATCGTATATTCGACTTATGATGTTCTGCCTTACTCCACGAATATATGGCCTTTAACAGTTTTAAGTAGATTTTATACACTTTAAATATGATATTAATAAAATGTTGGACCAACAATGAATTGGATAATGTAAAAATATACACATATATCAGTTTTGTTGTTAATTAGGTTATCGTTAGGATTTAGAAGTGTGTTGAAAAAACATTTAAAAGAGGAATTAGCAAAGCTTCAGCCTTCAACTTCACATTTATTCGTCAAAGCAGAAAATAAAGGGGACAAGTTCAGAGAATATAATTTACAGATTTGAAAGCCTTATTATATATGTTTGTCTCAAGAATTATATGTCTTAAAAAGGTGATTGGAACTTGGTTCCGTATCATGTCTCTCCTCTCCACACTCTCTATATATTTACACAGTACACCTTATCAATCTTGCTTTAATTTGTAGACAGTATTCTCTAACCCATCACCTATCAGTGCAAGAATTTTGTGTACAACTTATCATGTTCCTGTGTTTTGTTGTTACGACCAGCTAATCGGCCTTGTTTTTCTTTATATCCATTCATATATAATGTTACGCTAAATCATTCGTCTTATGATTAAAAATCACATCAGATATTCCTTAATAAACATTGGTTCGTTGATTCCAGTAGTTAGTTAATCTTTTGTCGACTTACGGATTAAATTGTTCGAATCGTAAAAGGTGTTGTTTGCCATAAATAATATCAACAATCTTTTTAACCCTCTCTTAAAGAATCATTTTTTTTTAATAATATAGTAAAAACTTTCTGCAAAGATAATAAGTATATAAACAGGAATAACTTGCTCTTGTAATTAGATTCGCTGGGTATTTAATTCTCACGTCATACACACTATGATGCTCAAATGAAGTTCTTTTATATATTTACTAGGCAGAATCATCATGCTTATTAACCCCATGAATAATTAAGTACATTCTTATAACAAAACTATCATTAAATAACTGAACTTCTTATAATTAAACTAAACTAAACTAATCAAATTTTATAGCCTCATGTGGTTGGATGATGAGCATCACTAGGAGCGTCCAGTTCACAAGGAAAATAAATCAGATTAGACACTGCTTCGTGAAGCCATCCATCGTCGTTTTTCATCTGCTAAAAAGTGGAATGCACGGCTTATTATGTTTACAACCGATTATTGTAAATACAATACTGTTCTAGAATAACGATATAAATTATTAGTACCTGAAAATAGTCGTCTGATCGAGAAAATATATCTTCTTCCTTTTTAGAATAGTTGTTGTGATTCTTAGACATGTGAGATTGTTGTTCACATGTGTCGTTGTTTCTGGCAAATCGACCTCTAACACGAACACGCCGGTCAGCTAGGGTTTTACGACATACATACTGCATTTATAATTATATATGTTTTTTTAAACTTTCTTTCATAATACATGGACATTAAACAATATTAATTTACTAAGGATGAGTATATTTGTATATATGCGTACCTTGATGGTCTTATTAAAGTTGCGTTGGTTCTTCTTCTTCAAGTACCTCATGATTCTGTCTTTACGTTCTTCAACCGAGTATCGTCCCACTTTTGTGTTCGGCTCAGCTTGTATCCCTCCTTCAATGTTTCCCTGCTTCATACAAATGTATTTTATTTGATTTTCTTATATATATTACTATCCATTTGAGATAATATACGATGTGGAAACGTGCATACATACCCAGGAATTCTCTCCAGAGGACTGACAGAACAAGGGCATGATCTCCGGTGAATAGCCGTAGTATTCTTGATCTCCACCATGAAAATATTGTGTGGCATTATTCACATCCATTTTCTGGTAATATTTATTGTACTCCGGCATATAAATATCAGAAATGCCAAAAACTTGGGGAAAAAATGTGGATTCTTGGTTAGAAGATGTGTTGAAGGAATGGTAACTGTCGCCGACGTAGTTGGATAGAGCTGAGAAGTCAGGACATGAAGAAGAGCCGTGAAACTGAGAAGAAGTCTCGCTGGAAAATGTGAAATCGGTGAACTGAGGAAGAGATGATGCCATAGGAGAACAAGCTTTTGTTAGTTTTGGGGTTGTTTGGGAGGGAGTATGTGAGTGTTTGCAAGTGTGTGTGTGTGTATGTGTTGCACCAAGTTTTAGCCAAATAAAAGTGTGTATATATAGAGATAAGTTTGTGTGGGATGTTCACAAGTTGTTAGGTTCAGGCAGGCCGACAGTAACACAAAGCATCATACGTACAGTTAATTAGTGAGAGTCGTCTTTGCTAATAGCTTCTTACACTCTCTTTTGATGCTGTTAAGGCCATTCATGAACTTTCTTTACCTTAATTCTTGAAGTTACCAGCTCATTCTTCCTTTTTATGTTTTAAGTGTTTCTATTTAATTATTTTCATGTTTCTTTTGCTTTTCTTTCTAAATTCATTTACCTTATATCTTTCTTCCGGATTGGTGTCTGCTTAGTTTTTTTTATTAACTCCCTTTTATACACCGTTACTTGTTGGTAACATATTATACTTTCAGCATAATGAACTAAACGTATATGTTATGTTGTGTTTTGCATGATTTTATCAACTAATGAGATCTACATGGTGCAATTATAACCTTAATTTAGGCCTGCGACAATTAACCGGAACCGAATACCCGAACCGGATCCGACCCGGAATAGACCGGTTCGGTTCGATTTCGGTCATGCCACAATTAACCGATGGGTATTGATGTTGATTATCCACGGGTATCGGTTCGGTTTCGGTTTTTACCCGGAACCGATCGGGTACCCGATTAAACCAGATTCTATATTTAAAAAACATGGAAATGTGCCTAGGAAGCGTCGAACCCGGGTTGGAGGGACAAATTATCAAGAGCAATACCACTGAACTGACTCAACATCGTTGTACATTAGTACATTCTACTAGTATATATATGATTTTTATTTTTATTTTATTTTTATTTTTAAAAATAATAAAAAAAATTAAAAATAAAACAAAATATTAATATTTCGGGTTTAAATTTGAACACCGGAACCGGACCCGGAACCGGGGTGGAACCGATCCGGATCCGAACCGAAGTTTACTAAGTACTAATTGGGTATAGTTTTCTTATAACCGATTTACCCGGAACCGAACGGATATTATCCGGAACCGTACCGAATACCCGAAGTCCCAGCCCTACCTTAATTTAAATCAGTGAATTTTTTTTTAGTAAAAATCTATAACAGAGAAATCTTAATTAATCTAAATTGTAAACATACGTGGAATGGTGATGATAATGGAGCAAACCCCGAATATATTAGTTATCTAATTTAAGCCACACCAGTTGTCCTCAGCTGCCAATGCTCTTGTCTCATCTTTTTTCATTAAACAGAAAAAAGAATTTGATAAGAAAATGACAATAAATGTTTTCGCGTTGTAGCAAATGGTCGTACAAATACACACGCTATGAGGACAACAAAAAGAGAAATCCTACACCTAGCCCCCGAATCTTAACACATGCATGGTCTTCCAATACTTAATATGCACCATTTTAAATTATTAATTACTCCAGTAACTTGAAAACAGCCGCTACGACTTCAGAATCCACCCTCTTTAATGTATAGTTTATTCACGAAAGTTACTATAAACGAAGATTTGTGACTACTCACACTCTCTTTTCACAGTTCTGATGATAGATCTAGTTACAGAATAATAGTGCTAAAAACCATGCGTCCTATATTTTGATAATGCAAGTTTTGATATCTAAACTCTAATGGCAATTTTTTTCCTTTTAATATATGAGATCATAAGCATAGTTACTAAATACATAGGGCCACCTCCAAACATGTTTAGCGAGGTAGGAGATTCGAAGAAAGATGATGGATGGTTCATGACATGACTGAATATGCATTCAAAGATAAAAGTTAGACATATCTTGTTTTCTGTGAAGTTGTACAGCTTCACAATACTAGATTCTCTTTCCATGGTCTTCTTCATTTCAAATTTGTCTCGTGGAGTAGCAATGAAATATTATGAGAAAAGGAAGGTCTTCCATGGTCTTCTTCATTTCATATATGATGTCAGTTATATATGTGTTCTACTGCAACAAAATTACCTTAAATTTTGTGGTATTAGTTAATAACAATATGCTTTGGATACATGTATAGGAATAGGAAATGATCTACTTCAAAATTATCTACTGCCCTCCTAGCTTATCTGTTGATTCGATTATGCCCTTAAAAATAGAAATCTCGAGTAATATGAAGTAATCAATACCTTATACCTACCCTAAACTCTGCGTCCTCGCGTTGTTTTTCAACGTGCCGATTGATACCTTTTTATTAATTTGTATATTTAATTTTGTGTTTTTTGTTTTTTTTGTTTGCTTTTGGTTCAAAGTTCAAACTCAAAAGGTTGTTCTTGGGAATCTTGCTTTCATGTGTTCTGTTAAGTTAAAGCGAAGCTTATATCTTAGTTCGATCTTTGATTGTTATCTGAAAAGCTTCTTACCCTTTACTATCCTAGAGTGAAAAGAAGCATTCATTTAATTTTTTTTTTTGGAACACAGAAGCATTCATTTAATTTATCTACAAATTAACACTGATTTACGCAGTAAATAACTCTTAAAATGTATTAAACGCGGTCAGAAGATTTCAGATTTCTTTATATATTAGTATTTCCTAAACAAACGAAAGAAGGTTTTCAAGGTAAGTACGTGAGTGATAAAAACGAAAGAACTAGACGAAACGAAAAGAGAGAAAAGTCAAAGTGGAATTGTGCAAGTTGTGTTTGGCTATTGGTGTTCGTCCATGTTGCCTGAGAAATGAATCTTAAGACATGTAGCTGTTCCCTTTTTTTTTTTTTTTTTTTTGACATCGAAAATAAAAGAACTATTGCTACTGAGCAGCCACTCGGCCAGCGTGGAGAGCTAGCCAACTTGGTGCAAAGCGGTTTACGCATGTAGCTAAAGAACAAAAAAGTAGCATGAAAGTTTTGGGTTTCCTTTATCAAAAAAGTTTTGGGTTTCCATTTTACATAAAAATTAATTCACTTTTGAAGAGTGTCCTTGTCAGAGTTGCATTTTCTATTGTTAATGCAGCCAGAAACAAAAAAAAATAGAAGAAAAGAAAAATGAATTTAGTACCTTATCTTGTGTTAAAAGGCATGTTATCATTTTGACATTTTGGCAAGAAGAATTAAAGATCATATTGTTATAAATAAATAACTAGAAAGACATAAACTAAACACTTTTATATTTGTATATGAAAACGAGAGAGATGAGATAGTAAAGTTGTTCTTATTATTCATCTTCACTTCACGTACTATTTATAGCACAAAAGGTTTGTGTTAAGTCATTTTGTCAATGAACAAAAAAAAGACACATGTATATTGGTGAGTGATGACTAAAAGAGAAATGAGGACATCTGTTGATGATGGTGATAGATGATCTATAAACATCTGTCTATTTGATAATTAATCACCATTTATAACACATATAGACTATTATGGACCGAGCCTCCACGGTCAGGATGACGTCATACGCAGCCTTGTCGTAATCTCCAGCTATCAAGTGAGCTTCGGCCTATCCCACGCTACGCTTAGCCATTGAATAGCCAAAGAGCATTGATTCACGCTGCTGCAATGGTGTTGTAATAGGCCAAAGTTAACTAGTGTTTTGTCTATGGGGCTTAGATCCTTAAACCACTCCCATCAAAAGTTCAGATGGGGTTCACAAGTATTTTTAAAAAAATATATATATTAAAATAATGAATAGTAACAAATTCGTCATTTGCAAGCTTTCCACAATAAACTCAGTTCATCACTGTAGTGTGGGTTCCATAACACGGGACGGCCTACCATTGATCCAATTATTAGTTTTTTTTTCTTTTAAAGTAAACGAAAAAAAAATTAAAAATGCCACGGCGAACCCCTTTTTAGGTTTGCTAATGAAGATGCTCTTAGTGCTGATATGATTTTCCTATAACTCCACTGGGTGCGTTATGTTTGTTGGTGACATGTTTGTTGGTGTTGTGTTACCTTGTTACCTTGCAAGGGACGTGAGCACAAAGTTACCTTGTTCCACAGATAATTCATGTACGATCTCACGGACCAACATGTATTAACGTCCCTAATGTGATGATACATTACAAGATACACAACAAAGATTCCATCATTTAACTTGTTCTTCTATTAAGACACAATACTAGTCTAAACATTTGATACAAGTTGCGATGAGTTTCAAGTTGTTTATAGAAAAAAAATTTTAAAAAGAGAGAGCTTGCCATGTGGGGGAAGACTTCAACACAATAAAAAACTTGTCTTGAATTGTCTATTCATCATCTTGGATTCTTGTGACTTAATCTGATTAAGTGTTTCTTAACGCTTTTGCATCTAAACTTCGAGTTATAAAATCAGATCATCGATGTAGAGCAAGTGGTTTGGAAATTGGGATAGTAGGTACAGTTCTCTTTACTTAAACAAATTACTGATCAAATTATTGATGTGATATTTCTCATTATCTATCTATATTATTATATAAGAAGTAAATTTGCTTAGTTGTCAACTTCTCCTTGATTTTAGGTAATTTTATTTATTTATCTTATTTAAATAATTTCATATACAATTTATTATTTAATAAAAACGAATTTATATTAATAATATTATATTTTAGAAAATAAGATAATTCTTATGTATTAGATTGTTATCTTGAACATATATTTTCTGTTAGAAAATTTAAGTGAATTATCTGATTTGTAATTTCTCCATGATTTAGATAATTTTGATTATTTGTCATATTTTTAATAATTTCATATAAAATTTATTAAAATAAAAACGAATTTCTATTAAAGTTATATTTTGAGAAAATAAGATACTTCTTGTGTATTATATTTTTATTTTGTAATTATATTTTTATCATAGAAATAAAAAATTAAGATAGAAAAAATTCTAATTAAAATAAATTAAAGCAGCACATTTGTAAAAATATATTTTTAAAAATATTTTGTTATGTGAGTGTTGTCATTTATAATTAATTTTAAAACATAAATCATAATTTATTATATTGGTTTGTTTATTT